AGGGAATTTAGGCAACTGGAATGTGTCTTTTTTCCCTCTGACCCTGTGAACAAAAGTTTAAAGATTTCCATGGAAGGAAATAAAGTCAGCTGTTTGTGGGAGGGAAAAAAAACCCAAACCTCAATAACAGTGACTCACCTGTACTCTATAAAGGAAAGAAAGTGAAGTCGCACAGTCGTGTCCGACTCTTGCGACCCCATTGACTGTAGCCTACCAGGCTTTTCCATCCATGGGATTCTTCAGGCAAGAGTACTGGAGTGGGTTGCCATTTCCTTCTCCAGGTGATCTTCCCAACCCAGGGATCAAGCCCGGGTCTCCTGCACTGCAGGCAGACGCTTTACCCGCTGAGCCACCAGGAAGACTGTACTCTATAAATTCCTGTATTTTTAATCACCGATTCTGATGCTAGGCAATATTGGCAACTTGGGTTTGGAGCCCAAGTTTGTGATCAACTCAGCCAACATTTGCTGGTTTCTCAGGGTCAATTTTACCTACCATTTTAAGCATGTTAGAGGGTTTAAGTTCCCGCCTGCTGTTGGTTGCAGATGGGCCCAATTTCATGCCCTTGACCCTGTGATCTTGCTCTGTCCTCCTCCCCAGTCCTGGGGTTTGGCCAAGGGAGTTGCTTTGGCCTATGAGATGCTCGCAGACATGGCGTCAACAGAGGCTTGAGAAGGCTCAGTGTGTTGGGTTTTCTCTCTCTGGAATCCTGTCTACTCCTGTGGGAAGGACCTGCTGGGGCTGGTCTGCTGGCATTAAGGATCATGGGAGCAGAGCTGAGTCATTTTTGTTTTCTCAGTCAAAGTCAAGCTGGCTCCCCAGCCATCAGATGACCCCCAGATAGATGAGTGAGCCCAATAAGATTGCAGAGCTGCTTGGCCAATGAGTGCTACCGTATGGGGGATGTTTGTTATGCATACTATTCTATCACTAGATAATGAAAAAACCACCCTCAAAGGACTTCCAGTGGCTCAGGAAAGAAAATTCTGCACACAACTGTAACCATTATAACTACTCCATGGCCGGATAGCATGTATTAAATGCTTATTTATTTTGCTCAAGCCCATTATTCAATACTTCACCTATAGTCTCACTGAATCCACTAGGTAGCTATTACTCTTATTCCCTTATCAAAGATACAGAAGCTGAGACTCAGAGAGATGGAGTGAACTGGCTGAAATCACACAGCTAGGCAAGGTTAGGAGGAATCAGGATTTCAATTCAGTTCCATTCAACCCCTTGCCCACAGTGCTGCAATGTTTCTTAATTGCAGGTCTAAGTATTTCAGCAGCTCTAAAAGAGTTGGAAGGTATTCCCTTTAAACAAGCAAATCAGAACTTTCTAGAAGTGGCAACATTTGGGTTTTGAAGTGGATTTGGGCAGGATTTGTGAGTGTTTTGTGAATATTTTTATTCTGCAAACAGATTGAGGCATTCTGACAGATGCTGGAATCACGTTTCCGAAATGCAGTGATTGGTTGCCTTTGCTGGACACGGGAACTTGCCCCTATCTGAGCTTTAGAAGGATACAGTTTGTGAGAAATTCCTCTGATAAAAGTCAAGGCTACTTCAAGGTAGGTAAAAGGAGCAGGTGTGTTTGTGGCATGTTGACTTAACTTGCTCAAAAGTCTCTCTCCCATTAATCTGCTGGGATGCCTGAAATTCCCACATTTAGGTAAGGTATTGGAGATAAGATGAGAGTGGGTGTGTGTATGTGAGTGGTCTGAGTAGGGGCTCCTAGGAGAGGGTGGGAAAGGCATGAGCTGGAAGCATTGCTGAAGGAAAATAGGAACTGAAATGTTGAGCAGACACTCCCAGACTAAATCTACTTCCACTGAGAAGATGCTGGAGAAGGTGGAGTCTCTGTACCCTTCCATCAGGCAACAGTCCCTCTACAACTTGACACTTATGGCAGGCAACCACGAAGCTCTGGGTTCGCTTTGCATTTTATGGTTATATAAATCATATATATCATGCCGCTTCATAGTTCACGTAGTTCCCCCACCCCATCCTGTGTAGTGTCTGCTACCACAAGAAATAGATTTTCAGCAGGCACTCATGTCTTTTGCCTGTAGGTAGTATGGAACCTCAGAAGTTCTAGAAAAGCTTTAAATATTTATTTTGATAGCTCTACTTGTCCCCAACCAGTCAACTAACATAACGTTCTTCTACATTCTTTTTTTTTTTTAAGTTAAAAAAATTTTTTTATTTTGTATTGGGGTATAGCCAATTAACAATGCTGCGATAGTTTCGGGTGGACAGCAACGGGACTCAGCCATACATATACATGTACTCACTCTCCCCTAAGCTCCCCTCTCATCCAGACTGCCACATAACACTGAGCAGAGCTCCCTGTGCTGTTCAGTAGGTCCTTGATCATTATTCATTATATATATATGCTACTCTTTCTTGAGACAACCACCGGTAGCCATATTGATCACCAGTTGCTACCTGTTGACCCCCCACTCCTGTACCAGTCGTCTTGACAACTTACTCCAATGTCACAATGGCTTGAGACGAAGCATATCAGGATGCTTATAACTGCCAGTGGCAGAAATCTAATTTGAACTGGCTTTACAAAGATGGGACTGTAGTGGCTGATGTAGGTGAAAAGTCCAGGTTGTCATGTTGGATCCAGGGGCTCAAGACTTAGTCTTATCTCCCTACTTTGTACCTCTTCTCTCTTTGTATTGGCTCTGTCCTTGGACAGATTTCTTTTTTTCTCCCTCATGGTGACAAGATGGCTGACAGCACCTCCCAGCTTCCATCTGGTCCTCGTAAGCAAGTTCATGGAAAAAGAGAAGAGTTTCCCACCCAAAGTCCCAGAACTGAATCTCATCAACTCTGATAGGACTGGGTTTACCTCATGGGCCTGTATCTGAACCAATCTCTGTATTTTAAGGGTTAATTTCATCTTGCTGCTGTAGCAAATTACCTCAAATGTAGTGGCTTTTAAAAAAGCAAGTTTATGTTCTTGTAATTCTGGAGATTTGCCTGTCTCAAACATGATGTGATGCCCTCATTGGTTAATCTAGAGATACAAGCCTGGCCTTGGAGCCCCATATAGTGTTGCAGGGGCTGTTTTCCAGGGGAAGATGCAGTCTGAACCAGAGCTGAGGGATGGGATGCCCAAGGCGCTGCAACAGCAAGCATCCATAATAGGAAACAAAGGAAAGATTCTGGTGCTCTTTTGAACAAGTTTTTGTTAGACTTGTCATCAGATTCCTTTTAGCCCATAGCGCTGGCGCGGCTGAAGCTTGGAATGCATTGTGATCAATTTATTTCCCTGAGAACTTTATGTTATTTTTAAAGCAAGAAATTTAGAGCTTGGTATCTTCACCAGTGGGTCTCAGTGACCACATGAAGCTGAGGTGGTACACAGCTCAGACTTAGACAGCATGGAAAAGCACTTAATTATCTGACTTCTGGGCAAGCGCAAGGTTTCTGCTGGTGAGGCTGGGGAAATGGAAGAAACTCCAGGATAGTGGAAAACTACATAACGTATTATGTTACTCTCAGTTAAATCCCCTAATTTTAAGGGAAAACAATCTTCAAAAGAGTCATAAAGCACATGAAGAGGCATCTTGAGGGGAGGCTTATCTAGATAAATCACAATATTCTTAGCAGCTGGATTTTGAGTCAAAATTTAAGTGAGAGGTACAGCCTCAAAGATCTAGCTGCCCATCTACCAGCTTGGAAAAAGCCGAAAAATAAACCAAAGGACCTTAGCCATACAGTTGGCTGTGGCTCAGAAGTGTCTGGACAGATCACTTCTCTTAGAAGCGCATCTGATGGCAGAGACAGCAAAGGATGACCGAGGAGGGCTGGGGACTCGAGAAAGGGAGAAGGACCCTTCCTCCGTGTCCTCTGCGGTGGAAGCACACGATCACCACTCCTTCCATGACCTTTCGTCAGAGATGATGGGAATAAAGCCACAAGTTGAATGGAGAGGCAGTGACTTGCTGATGACACACAGAAGGAAATGAGTCTGATTATAAGCCCCGGGTATGCGTGGTATGAACTCTGGAGGCAGCGCTGCCCGGTTATGAACTCTGTCCTCAGAATTGGATGGAACTGAATGTGAATCCTGATTCTTTCAATTAACAGCTGTGTGACTGTGGAACATTCACTTTGACCTTTCTGAGCCTTCATTTTTAATCTGTAAAAGGAGGATTAACGATGGTACAAATTAGCATTAGCAATTTACAAGTTAGCTTTAGGCAAAACAATAATTAAAGCCCTTACCACCGGTTTGTGAATTATACGTTTCCTTTGTACACAGTGTAGTCTGGAGCCCAGGAAGACAGGTGGTGTCCATCCCACAGTTTTTTCAGTTGAAAGCAACAGAATCCCAAATAAACTTTAAAAAACAAGAAACTGCGAGCTATTTATGAATGGAAAGTTCAGGAATGGTGTGGATTTTAGGCCCAGTTAGATCCAGGGGCTCAAATCAGGTCACTACCCAGCTTCTCCAGCTCTTGACTCCATTTTTTAATTTAAAATAATTTAGAAAGAAATTTATATTGCTACCACATGTGCCATTAAAAAAAAGATAAATATTAAGTTAAATGCAATGAAAGCAATGTCACAAAGTCCTAAGTACAACAACAACCAAAAAACCTCAAACAACCCAATTAAAAAATGGACAAAGGACTTGAACAGACATTTCTCCAAAGAAGATACATACTTACAAGCAATAAACACATGAAAAGATGCTAAATACCAATAATCATTAAAGAAATGCAAACAAAACTCTTGGGTTGGCCAAAAATTGATTTGGGTTTTTCCATATTATCTTATGGGACCACTTCATAACCATTCAGATGGCTACTGTTTAAAAAAACAGACAAAAACTAGCAAATGTTGGGGAGAATATGAAGGAATTAGAACTCCTGTGTACTGTTAGTGGGAGTCTAAGATGGTATAGCCATTGTGGAAAATGATATGGTAGTTACTCAGTGGCTCAGCGGTAAAGAATCTGCCTGCAATGCAGGAGACTGCCTACAATGAAGGAAACGTGGGTTCGATCTCTGGGTCAGGAAGAGTCCCCCGAGAAGGAAATGGCAACCCACTCCAATATTCTTGCCTGGGAAATCCATGGTCAGAGAAGCCTGGCAGGCTACAGTCCATGGGGTCGCAGGAGTTGGACACGACTTGGCAACTACACCACCACCACCAAAAAACTTTAAATGGAGTTACATAATAATCCAACAGTTCTATTTCTGTGTATGCACCCAAAAGAAGTGAAAGCCAGGTCTCAAAGAGACGTCTGTACACCATGTTCATAGCAGCTTTATTCACATTGCCTGAAACATGGAATCCAAGCATCTACTGAAGGATGAATGGATAAGCAGTCTATCCACATAATGGAATATTATGCAGCCTTAATAGGGAAGGAAATTCTGACACCTGCCACAACATGGCTGAAACTTGAAGACATTATGCTATGTGAAATAAGCCAATCACAAAAGGACCAACATTGTATGATTCCACTTATATGAGGAACTTAGAGAAGTCAAAATCATAGAGACAGCTTCATTAGAGAATGATGGTTTCCAGGGGCTTGGGGAAGGGAGGATGAGAAGTTAATGTCTAATGGGGATCAAGTGTTAGTCTAAGATGAAAAGAGTTATGGACATGGGTGCTAGTGATGGTTGCCCAAACTTATGAATATATTTCATGCCACTAAACTGTATACTGAAAAGTGGGTAAGATGGTAGTTTTATGCTATGCATATTTTACCCCAATAAAAAAACTTGGGGAAAAATTCCTATCTAGATTCTGTGGCCTGCCCAAGGCTCTAGGCATGAAAATGAGAGAGACTGTTAAAGACACACCCAACTGTGGAGTGTCCTGGGCACAGTCAGAAGGACTGAAGCAGTAGAGGAAGGAGGACCTTCCTCGCCTGGAGGGGATGCTGCAGAGTGTCATGGTGGGTACACTGCATCACGGCCCTCAGCTGCGGAAGGACCTGCCTCTTCTGACCCTGCATCTGATCATATTCTCTCAGCTTTGTCTAATGACTCCTAGTCTTAGCCCTATGTCCCTGGCCCTCTGTCCTTGGACTTCCCTCTCTCAACTAGATTGCAGGACTCTGAGGGCAGGGCCAGCACCATGCTAGTATTCTGTAGCTGCACGTACCTGGCAGGCACCCAGGGTGTGTTGGTTTTAGTCCAAGCTGTGGAAAGCAGCAGACCCAGTGAGTGGTCCAAGAGCTCCTGTGTCTGAACATACCAGGAAACCACCTTCTACCCCTTTTCCCTTTTTTGGCTGATTAATATATTTTCTATTTTTCCAGCCATCCTACAATCCAAGATTATTTTTATTCTGTAGGCGATGGATATTCTAAGTCCAAGGAGAGGGATATAATGAGGTGATCCAGATCCTAGCCTGGTAGGAGCAGAAGAGAATCCTAGTCTTGGGCTTTTCTAGTTTTCAAAGCATGGAATACAGAAAATGAAGCAGAGGCCCCTACAGATTATTTGCCCTGTTTGGTGACAAATGACCCTAAAAGAGGGGCTTTACAGGTGGGTGCTAGTGGTAAAGAACCCTCATGCCAATGCAGGAGACATAAAAGACATGGGTTCAGTGCCTAGTTTGGGAAGATCCCCTGGAGGAGGGCATGGCAACCCACACTAGTATTCTTGCCTGGAGAATCCCATGGACAGAGGAGCCTGGTGGGCTATATAGTCCATAGGGTCGCTAAGAGTCGGATCCTACTGAGGTGAGTTAGCACGCAGGCACGACCCTAAATGATGGTGCCTTTCCATCTCCACATCCTGACTTGAACTCAGGGACTGGGTAGAATGAAAGGAAGATAGGGTGATGGAGAAATTTAAGCATCAGCTCAGTTCTGGGAGGTTGGGTACTTTTCTAGTGACTGCAGCTCTATAACAAATTACCCCAAACACTGTGGTGTAGGTGAGTTGGTGATAGACAGGGAAGCCTGGCGTGCTGCAGTCCATGGTGTTGCAAAGAGCTGGACACTACTGAGCGACTGAACTGAACAGAAGAGTGGTGTAGAATAACCATGCGTTATGCCCATGGGTTCTGTGGGTCAGAATTCAGACAGGGCATGGGGGGGACAGCTAACCCCCAGTTGGACATCTTCAAGCCTTGAGGCGCCAGTCACCTCAAGGCTCATTCACTCACATAGTAGTTAGTATTGGCTGTTGGCTGCAAGGCCTCAGTTTCTCTCATGGGCTTTCTTTCCGTAGGCTTGCATGGGCTTCCTCCCAACATAGAGGCTGTATCAGAGGATGGGGATCCCAAGAGAGAGGGCACGTGGATGCTGTATCAACTTGCACAACTCTGCTTCCAAAGGCACTCAAGTCACTTCTGCTACTTTCTACTTTTTCCCAAGTGGGCCATTCAGGCTAAAGGGGAGTGGGGTGGTATTTAGCTGTGTCTTCTGGGGGAAGAGTGTTAAAGGATTGGTGGACACTGTCAAGTCACCACAAGTGTCCTGAGATATGAGAAGTGATTCCATGACTTCAGACCTGTTTTTCTTCCCCTGTGTGGCCTGCAACTCCCTGCCCTGCCCCAGGTTCCCAGGGAAAGCAAACTCCCAATCAGTCAAGCAGATGCAACAGCCAGCAAGCAGCCAAAAGGGAAGTGCCAGATGCCACCTGGAGTGCTGCCTCTCTTCCCTCTGCTGGGGGAACTCTGGCCAGGGAGGGGCTCTAAGGGCTTCCTGATGTGTTCAGAGGTCAGTAGTCCAGGGCGGAGTCCACAGGAAACATTCATTGGTTCATTCATTCATTCATCCACAAATCTTTCTTGAGCAGTTTCCAAGCACCGTTCTCAGCACGGAGGCTGTTGAACTGGGAGATTAACCGACCCTCTCGTCTAAGCTGCTCAGCCCAGGGGACAAGTCTCAGGGGAGCCGGGAGAATCCCCTACACGTGAGGCTCAGAAGACCACCTTGGGCAATGAGGAGAGGAATCTGCCTCTCACCGGAGCCACCTCCCCTGCACAAGGGTCTGTGAGCGAGCTGGGGACACCCCAGGACCGCTAACCCTACATCTCGGTTGACTTTGCTCCTGATTGCTGCCCACACCCAGCGGCTCTGAGCTCCTGGGAGAGGCTGGGAGACGCTGCCGGTGCCCGTGAGTCACGAGTGTAAAGTACGCCCAGGGCCTTGGCAGGCAGGTCTGTGCAAGGGTAAGGTGTCATTAGGTGAACGCTGACAAATGCTGCTTTCTCGAACCCTGGAGATAAAAGATAGGTTTCCCGCGCAGCCTTTTATCTCTCCCACTGTGTTGGGGTGGGAGCTGCAGGTCCCCGGGCAGCGAGGCAGCGGGGTGGGGGTGCGAGCGGGAGTGCGCGCGTGTGCGTGTGCGTGTGTGCGCGCGCGTGGCCTTCCGGCAGCTGTCCCGGCCCCCACCCCACCCCACCCATCGCACCCGGCCCTGCGCGCCGCCCCCACCCCTCGTCGTGCTGGGTGCGCCGCGGGCCGCTGCGCGCCTAGCCGGCTACCCAGCGCCAGGGAGGCGACCCCCGTGCACCCCGGGTTCAAAGGCCCCCGCGCTGCAACTCCAGCCCCTCCGGGGGGCGGGGAGGCGAAAGGGGTGGTACGGGAGCCAGAAAAGCCCTAACCCACAGCCGGCAGCCCGAGCCGTGATGGGCAGCGCGCTCTGAAGTTTGTGACGGTCGCAGCCGAGTCCTGGCCGCAGCCCGGGACGCGGCGAGCCAGCGGCCGGCCTCGAAACATCTGCAGTTGGAGGGTGAGGCCCGCTGTGCCCGGCCCGAGAGCCCTTTGGCGGCCACAGGCGCCCGTCCTCCGGCGCGGTGCGCCCGCGCCCGAGCGGGGTTCATGGAGCTGGGGCTGTGCTTCCTTTTCGGGCTCGCTGTGACCTCCGCCGCAGGTAAGCGGGCTGGGCGGCGCGCGTCTCCTGGCGCGAGCGCACACAAAAGGACCGCGGATCGGGGGCGCGGGGAGAGTGCCTCACCGGGGGAGCGGCCTGGGGGCAGGCTACAGGGCAGAAGCTGAGAGCACGGACCACCCCGCGGGCCCGGGGGGTTGCAGCCCACACGCAGGCAGAAGACCCGGGACCGACTTGGTCAATTTTTCATGAAGTTGGGAACTTTTCCAAAAGTTTGCAAATGATTCAGAAACTGTGCAAAATGATTGCAAAGTGTTCAGAAAGCCTGCACAATGCTTGCACGTTTTCAGTGGGTGCAGATTGCCTGCACGCTGTGCAGTAAGTGAGAAGAGCTCCCAAGATTTTCACAAAGTGTGCACGCAACTTGTAAGCTTTTTAGAAACTGCTGCACATAGCTTTGCAAAATTTTCCAAACATTGGGAGCAGCTTGGAGACTTAACAAAAAATGCCCTTAGCTTGCAAACTTGGCAGAAAGTTTGGTTGTCCCCTTCCCCAGGTTCTACGGGATGGTGGGTGTAAGGGTCTGCATTCCTAGGAACTCAGGAGCCCCTCCATCTGCCTCCTGCAGGATGGGTGCCTCACTCCCAGTCTGGGGATGCTGGCAGGAGCAGCATGCCCCGGGCCCCCTCTGCAGCCAGATCAGAGGCGGACACCAAGGAGACTGTGGCCACCGTGGCAGCCTGGGGTCCAAGCCCCAGAAGCCCTTGGCAGGAGCAGGGACCAAGTCAGTTTGGGAAGCAGGGGCCCGAGGGGGTCCCCGTGCACCACCGAGCCCGGCGTTGTACGTGTTTTACCTACAAGGACAAAGAGTGTGTCTACTACTGCCACCTGGACATCATCTGGATCAACACTCCTGAGTGAGTCAGCCCTGGGGTGGGGGAGTTGGCCCAGGGGGAGGGGAGGGGGGCTCCTGCTAGGCCCCTCTCTTCACACTGAAGGAGGACCTGGTTCCTTCTGAGCCCGGTCAGCCCAGAGCCCACTTGGCACAGCCTTCAACCCTCCTGCCAACCCAGGTCGGCTCTGCAGGTCAAGGGTGTGACTCTCATCCCCTCTGAGGGCCTGGCCTGGGAGAAACCCAAGCCCAGAGTGTCTGATCTGGTGGAGAGGGGAATGAAATGAGCCAGCCAGAGGGATTAGACACCTGAGAAGTCCCTCTGGGGGGAGGAAGCCTGAAAGTTACTCCTGCCCCTGGGCCATGTGGGTCCTGCCCCTCTGCTGACCCTGCCAGGCTCCAAGGAGTTTCAAATTCCTTGAAAGCAGCCTGTTTTCTAGGGAGTGCAGGGGTGGGCTAGGCAGGGCCTAGTGAAACCTCCCCCACGGGGTGACATTCCGTGGAATTCAGGCTCCTTACCTCCTGGGTGGTGAGCCCATAGTTCCCCTCTTTCCCATGTCACCCCAGCACCCGACCGCTCCCCTTCTCTCCTCCAGTCTGTAAGAACTGTCTTACTGCAAAACTGAGACGGTGCCACCTGAGTCCCTCCTGGAGTCTCCTTAATGTGAAGTTCCCCCTCTCCCGAGGCCGTGGGTAGTGACTCAACTCAGGAACCCCTTCCAAAGAAACATCCTCCTGCAAACTGTGAAGAGGGCTTGACCTCAATCTGGTCAGCAGCCTTTGGAATTTGCCTTCCTGGTCTCAAAAATCCAGGACTTGGACCAGACGTCTAGGTGTCTCTGGGTAGTCTTAGGATACCTTGGGCATCCTGCTTAGCCTTTCCAGAGCACTGGGCCTGGAGAGGCAACTTTGCTGCAGTGTTTCGGTCCCCTTGATCCAAGGGTTCCTTTTTCCCCGAGCCATGTGACCTCTGAGCACCCTGGGTGACAGCTCGATAGGCTGCACATACCTACCTTGTTTTACCAATACCCCGAGGATGAAGTACAAAGGAGACTGAATCTGGGGGGCCGGATATCTTTCAAAACCAGATCATGAGTCCTCTGAGTACATCTGGTCTGGAAAGTCACCCTGCTGTCCTGCATGGCAGGCAAGACTGGCTCCACCCAGGAGCCTGGACACATGTACAAGGTCCCGGCTCAGAAGGACCCTCACAGTCTAAAGTGTATTGTTGATGTGTTGAAATGCTTAATACTTTTTAAATTCAAGTATAGTTGATTTACAGTATTGTGTTAGTTTCAGGTGTACAACACAATGAAATGCTTAATATTTTTTGAAGCGAGGGCTCTAGATTTGCATTTTATCCCAGGCCATCCAATAAAGAGCTGACCCCGATGCCAGAACTTGCTTGCTGGGTTATGTCTGGTCAGCACACAGAGAGATGACCAGGCCAGATCTTAAAAAGAGAGGTGTACTGGGGAGGGACTCCTGGACAGGCTGCCACTGACAGCCTTCTATTAACAGACAGCGGTCAGGGTCACCTTCTCCTGCAGTCTCCATCACCCTGACACTTGTCCTCTCTGATTCTTATCCTCCTGGCATCGTCCTCTGACTAAATTAGCTTCACAGAACCCAGGGCAACCTTGGCAGGAATCCCAGGCTGTGCTTCTAGAAGGAGAAAGAAGAAAGCAAAGCCAGTTAGGGGAAGGGGACTTTGTAGAAGACAGGAGGGGAGAAAGGAGAAGATATTGGGAGACCACCTTAGTTTTCTGCCTGTGGCCAAGCTCTGAGCACTCGCTGTATGGAAGCACTTGCCCCATCCCCATGACCTGGTGGGAATCCTATCTCCCCATTCTGAGCTGTCATGTATGACCTGAGGTGAAGCCATGGGTCTTTGGCTTTTCCCAGGCTATCCAACTTGCTAATGTTCTCCTCACAGCTTGATTTACCTCTTCCCTTCTTTCCAGACCCTGATTCATTTTAAACACTAGAGGGAAGGATTAAATATGGTGTTTGAGAGTTTCATGAGCTACCCTGGGAAACAAGAAAATGACAATAGCCAGACTTGACCATTTTAAAGTCAGACAAGCAACATAACCTTTATACAGAAGATGTTCCCAGATGGTCTTTCTCTGCCTTCCTTTCTTTCCCTTCCTTCCTCCTTCGCTCTTTCTTTCATTCCTTCTGAAAATTGTCTGTTCCTGTATGGGCAGCTTCACTGGCAAACTTTAAAACATCTTGGACAAGATTGCAAAGTGAGGGAGTGGGCTTTAGGGAACTTGGGCCTTTGGAGAAGTGGGAGCATCTGAAAATGACTGGGTTGAACTAAAGGGCAGGGGGATGCACGCTGAGGACTTTTCCAGGCTCTGTTTCCCACCCCCTCCCCAACCTACGGTCATAGCCCTACATCGAGGGCATCTCTCTGTCACCCCTGTTCTTCAGCAGACCTTCCTCATCTCCTGAGGCTTCTCCAGGTGTGATTTGCATCCTGTTCCCACCACTGGCTGTGCCGGGAGCCCACAGGAGTCTGGGTCTTCACGCCTCAATTGAGAGTCTGGAACTTTGGGTGATTTTCAGCTCCGGTGTCTTTCCTTCTACTGCCTTCCAGTTGCACGAGGTAGAGGCGACGATCCTGCTTTATCTCAGAATGATGCTTGGGAAGTTGCAAGGCCTTCTTGGAGAAGGTCATTTGAGCTGCGTTTAAGGATTTGCGAGCTCCTTAAGGGGGGATGTTGTTCTTGCATCTCGTGTGGAAAGTTAAGGCTCTGGAGAGCAGCTGCTCCCAGAGATGTTTTCCAGGCATGAGATCCAAGTTCTCTGGTTTCCCCACATCCTTCTAAACACTTAGCTCTTCCAGATCTGAGTTTGATCCTTACCCAGCACATAGTAGATGCTCAGTAATGCTGGTCTTTGCTGTCACTGAGGTTCTGTCTGCAGGACTTTCTTCCACAAAGGAGGTGTCCCATCCCAGAGGTCTCACATCCTTAGAGACATGTACAGGAATGTGGATTTTTCCGGGGCTGTTGCTCATAACTTCCATTGTTTCCTCCAGAAGATCTCAGGCCCCAAAGAGGAATGAGCCAACTGCATCTAGGGCAGCTGGCTTCTTAGACCTGGGGAGGAGGCGGAGACGGCTCCCCGCCCACGAGGCAAGGGATGTTCATGGCTCTCCTTGGCCCTGTTAGGAAGCCACTGCACCTCCCCCCATCCCCAGCAACCCCACCATTGCCAACAAAAACAAAACCCCACCTCAGAGAAAATACCTGTCTCATCTCATGGTCATGGAAAATATGCCAAGAATAAGATAATGAGAGAAGTGGGGACAAGTAGCCCACATGCTTACATCCCTACATATTCAGGGCTGTTTCCATGAGAATACTTCAAAAACAGGATTTCCTGTGACATGGTGAGGGATTGTCTCTGTTGGGGTCTCCAGAAAGATGGAACTAATAGGATGTGTATATGTAGATCTCTTTGTGTATATAAACACACTACACACACACACAGAGGAACTGATGTTGCAGTCTGCAGTCTGCAGTCTGAGGCATCCTGAAGGCAGAATTCCCTTCCTACTTAGGGCATCTCGCTTCTCACTGTCAGAGCCTTCACCTGATTAGATGAGGCCCACCCACATTATGAAGGGTAACCTGCTTTACTCAATGTCTACTGATTTAAATGTTAATTGCAGCTAAAATATACCTTCCTGGCAACAGCTAGACTGGTGTTTGGTCACAGATCTGGGTACTGTGGCCCGGTCAAGTTGACACATACAATTAACCATCACAGAGTTCTCAGTGCTAACCATACCCCACAGCAGGGCAGCCCCTCTGCACCTGCCATCCATCCACCTGGCCGCAGAGTGAAACCACTAGCTGTGACAGCCAGTGAAGCTGCAGGGCCCCCAGCAAGGAACCCAGCTCAGTCTCCCCCACTTCGTTCCTGAGAACTGATGCTATCTTTTAATCCCTCCAAGGATGTAATGACAGAGGCACTGTGATGCTGTGATAGTGGCAGTGTTTCCAAACAAAAATCTGAGCCACATGGTCTGACAAGCAGGAATGTATTTCTGGAAAGAGCAGTGCAGGATGTTTGGAATCACGGCTGTGGTGGAAAATCTGGGCTCTGTAGACTCATAAGAAGACTCCAGCCCCAGGAGCTCTGCCCAGTGTCCTGTTTGTGATTCGCTGCGTGGCCTGGGGGTGGTACCACCCTCTCCCCGTGCCCCAGGTAAGGTGCAGACATCAGTGTGACTCTGGGATGGTGACCTAACAGGGTGACCAGCCTGGCCACACTGACTCAGCCAGCAGGAATGACATTTTTCCCCAAAGAAGAGGTGTAAAAATAATCATAATTATTCCATATATTCTACCACAAAAAGGCAACAATTCAACAGAGTCATCTTTGCCCCTCCTGTTGTTCAAGAGAGGTATGCCACATGTTTCTAGGGAGGGGACATTTTATGTTTGAGAACATCCCAGTGGAATGGATGGATATGGTTCTCCAGCCTCCCACTGATATGGGACCGGCTGTCCACCCACTGTGTGATCACAGGGATCCCAGTAACAATCATGTGACCTGCAAGTCAGGACTGGGAGTACTGTTGCTGGCGATACAGCTTTTGAGGCAGAGGGGTAGTCTTTTGAGCATGATTATGATCTTGCAAGCAATGGCCCACACTGATGTTGACCATGACTCCTGTGAGTAAAGACTTGTGAGGATGACATGAGAGAGTGTGTGGAGCATTCTCAGCACAGTATCTGAACTCTAGTGGGCTCAGTACCTCCGGACCACAGGACCATGTGGATAAGTGTACAACCCTGGGGGCTGCATAATGTTCCCTGTCACTCCACACAGTCTGTGGTTGGAGGACCCTGGGACGAAGAAGCTCAAGTCCTGCTGAGGTCGGCTTCCTTGGACCCTTAAACCATGGTCTTACCCAGCTTCCTGCAGTAGCACTGAGGAGCTTGCACCTGGGTACCCCAGTTTTTCCCTACCCCATGCCTCTTGGTGGGCGATCTCTTAGCATTT